TGAAATGTATAGAGGCAAATGTATGATAAGAAACAAAGGGACAAGATAAAGTACTGTGAGACTGATGTTTATTCTGAAGACAAATTGCCTCTCTTTTTATATTATTGAAGATCTGAAACTAGCGTTGCGGTGATAAGACTATAGGATGTAGATGGACGTATCAAATGGATCTTGGCCATGTTGTAAAAGTACATCGCTATCTTAATCCTGTCAACGACCATTGATAAAGCAGGGATAGTTTAACCGTGTGTTGGATCTCGGAGGATGACGGTGTATGTGTATAAGATAATTGGTGCTTGCCATTTGGCATAGATGATAGGTGCATGTCATTGTGTGTATGTGCACCACATTGCCCCCTGCCAGGTTGAGCTATACCCTGTAATTAACTTGACGTCGAGGGCGTTTGCTTTGGCGATGGGATGATGAAGATGCTCGTGGTCGTTTGGAAGGTGAAGTCTTGTTACGCATAATGGTGGTTGTGTTGCCGCGCTCGTGTGTGTTGTTTTGTACACGTGAAGGGGTAGTGAGTTTGTCCCAGTATTGTGTGATCGGTGTTGGGCTGTGAAATGATTGAGGAGGTTCCCATGTATCATCAGCCTCGGTGTAACCTTGCCATCTAACCCGGTATTCGTATTTGCCAGGTGCCAGCTCTCGATGATCGACAATTGCTTGAATTGTGTAATACTTGCCTTCGTGCTCGTAAAGTTCGTTGACATCAACCAATTCATCTTCCGAGACAAGCTTGAGCTGTGATGGTGCATAATTTCTGGGTGCGAGGAGTCCTTGTTCATCTCTTAAGACATAAGAACCGCCCTTGGTTTCCTTGACAACGGTGTAAGGTCCTTCATACCGTGGATCGAGTTTCTTGCTTCGAAGCATATCCTTAACCATGACTTTGCTACCGGGTGGATATTGTACAATCCTATACCTGGTGTCGTGCTTACCCTTTTTTAATTGTGCGAGTGCCTGTGCCCTTTCCGATATGGCAGGAAATACCGTTTTGGACATCAAGTCAATGCGGTCCATAAGCTCATCTTCTGTAAGTGGCCTTGGGATCTCATCATTGCTGTAGTCACGGAATCCATTCATGGCTCGGTTGAACATGAGGGCAAATGGTGTAGAACCATGTCGGCTGGCAACCTTGTTGTTGAGAGCAAGTTGTGTAGGTTTGACATACAAGTCCCAATCTTTGGTGGAGCCTTCAACGCACTTGCGGATGACATTGATGGTGGTTTGGACGAATCGTTCAGCCACGCCATTCGCTCTTGGATGATAGGGTGTTGCAAGTCGATGATCAAATCCGGCAGACTCTTGTAACTTACGCATGAGAGTGTTGACAAATTCGGTGCCATTGTCGGATTGTAGATAACGAGGGAAACCATAATCGCAAAACGTATTAACAACCGCTTGAACCACTGTATCGGATGACTTGTCGGGTAGTGTGTGTAAAACGCAAAATCTTGTACATACATCAACCATAACCAGCAAGTAGTTGTTACCTCTGTTGCTTGTTCCAAAGCCGCTGGCAAGGTCAATTGCCCAGTGATCACCAGGGAGATATGCATGAATGGGACGAAGAGGGTGATAACCCACTTTGGCAATATTGTGTCGCTGGCATTGGCGGCAGCTGTGTACAATGTTTTGTGCTTCCCTATGCATGTTGTTCCATTGTAAGCCATTAGCATGTAAATACGATACCATAGCCTTTGCACCAAAGTGTCCTAAAGCATGTGCTTCCATAAGCAGCTTCTTGCGATCTTCTTGAGGTGGCGTAAACATGTCGTCAGTGCCATCATCAATGCCGCTGTATACTTTGTCGGTGTTGCCTGTAACCCCGATGGCATGAGAGGTGTATTGATTACCATGTAAGTGCGAAGCATCGTCCCCTGCCAGCTCTTTTGCCGTTGGGAAAAGGCGTGAGAGTTGATCAGGTAACGTGTTGTCGAGTCCAGGTAAATGCACAATGGTGAATTGATACTCCAAGATAGTTTCAAGCCAACCAATCATCATGGGATTAGCTGTCTTTTGGGTGTGAAGGTAAACCAATGCCTTGTGATCGGTGTAAAGTGTGAATGGGTTACCCCAAAGATACTTGTGAAATTTGTTGAGAGCGAATACGATGGCGAGTAACTCACGTTTTGTGGTGGAATAGTTGCGTTCAGATTTGGATAAAGAACGAGCCATGAAACCAATGTGGCGAGTTTGGCCATCGATGACTTGGTAAAGTACCGCTCCAATACCTGTGTTTGATGCATCAGTGGCAACCTGAAAAGGATGTGATAGATCTGGATGGCAAAGAACAGGTGCATCAAGAAGAACCTGTTTAAGGTTGTCAAAAGCTTGTTGAGTATGGGATGTCCAAAGATCATCCAAACGATGTTCGTTTCGAAGCTTGTCAAGTGGTGCCATGAGATCGGCAGCTTTAGGGATGTGCTCCCTGAAGTAGTTGATAACGCCGAGGAAGCGTTGAATATCCTTGCCAGTTTGTGGTGTGGGCCATTGCTGTACATTAGCGACCTTGCGTGTATCCAAAGACTTACCTTTGGCGGAAACGCAAAAACCAAGGAGGTATACGGACTCCTGTGCAAAGTGGCATTTCTTGGGATTGAGAATGAGGTTAACGCTGGTAAGCTTGTCAATGACCGTAGCCACATGCTTAGCGTGTTCGTCCATGGTGCGTGAGTAAATGATAATGTCATCCACAAAGGTTGACACAAAAGGCATATCCTGGAAAAGGATGTCCATGGTACGTTGGAAGGTTGAAGAGATTGGCTTGAGACCAAAAGGACAACCACGAAACATGAGTTGCTTGAAACCAGGAATCTTGAAAGCTGTCTTAGGTCTATCAGGGCCATAAATCTCGAACCTGTGGAAAGCATTCTTGAGGTCCAATGTGGTAAAAATTGTGGCACCTTTCAAGTCGGCATAAATGTCGTTGATAAGGGGCAACGGATGGCGATCGGGTTCCACAAGAAGCTTGTTGATATGGCGGGGATCAAGACATGGACGCTTGTCGGTGTAATTACCAAACATGTCTTTCTTGGGAGCCATGGTGATGGGACTATTCCAAACCGTGGATACAGGTGCTTCTTCAACAATAACATCATCGATCCATGATTGCACTTGTTCTTGAACACGTGCTAGGGATGCTTCAGGAATTGGGTATTGTCGCTTGTGTACAACAGCGTCTTCGTCCTTGGTCTTGAGATGGATAACAGATTGAGGTACAGTGCAAAAAGTGTCTTTGATTGAGATTTGGGCATTGTGATCCACTGTAGGTTGTACAATGGCAAAGAATGCGTCACGTTCAGCGTGGGAACCTGCAGGTGAGTTGTTAGGTTCGGGGATGTCGCTGTTGGTGGTTACGTGTTTTTCTTTCGGTTGTGTATTCCACGTAGTGGTTAAACCTGTAACTGCAATGCCAAGCTTTGGCATGAGATCAAGACCAATGGTAACTGGTGTAGAGCCTGACAACTCCATTACAAGGAAATCATGTGTGAGCTGTTGACCACGATATGTGATAGGAACATTTGCTACAGAGCCTAACAGTGTTGCTGAAGAGCCACTTTGTGCAAGGGATACGTGTGTATTGGCAATGCTTTCTTTATTAATTACTGCGTCTATTTTATGTGCTAGTGCTGGTGTAATGAAAGAACGATTTGCACCTGTGTCAACAAGGGCATGGACATCTTCAATCTGTACCGTGATAGCAACATGCAGTGAGTCATAAGTTTGATCCTGTGATGAACGACAAGTATACTTACCTGTGATGTCCATATTCTCCAAAGTGCCGGGCAAAACGAAATCAATGATCTCATCAGCACGAGAAGAGGAAGAAGAGGATGAAGAATTGGTGGTGCGCACGCCACGATTGTAGACAGCTGTTTTGCCCTTGCGATTGGACTTCTTGTAGACCTCACAAACACGTAAGTGTCCAGGGGAGAAAGGCTTCTTGCAGAAATCGCAAAGCGTGCTGCCTGAACCTGAATAGGTTGTGGATGGGGCATGCATTGAGGCTGACAAGCCTGTGGCAGATGATGATGATGGTGACGACGACGACGACGACGACGAAGAACCTGTAGAAGGTTGTGAGGCACGTTCATGAAGTGCATTCATGACCTTGCATTCATGCTTATCATGATTGCCTCTTGGATGCATGGGGCAGTTGCCATGGCGACGGCGTCTGCTGCTGCTGCCGTGACGGTCTTGGGAGTTGCCATGGGAACGCTTGTTGCCCTTCTTGTTGCCGGATGATGATGATGATGATGCTGATGCCGAGGACTCCATGTGCTGGCCAACGGTGCGAATAGCCAAATTGGCAACCTCACGAAGATTGGTAGGATCCCTGGTGGGGTAGTTGCTTGCCAAAACAGGATAAAGTTGATAACGCACAGACTCTTGCAAAGAATAGATAAAATCCTTGCAAAGACGCTCATCCTCTGCACGTGACGCCTCGCGAGCCAACGACTCAAACTCCTCAACATACTCTCGGATCGGCTGGTTGTAGGTTTGACGTAACTCATACAACTCTTGACCCTTCAACCAAATATGACTAGGGTTGCCATACTCGGCCTCGATTGCTACTTGTGCTTGTTGCCATGTAAAACCTCTGCCGTGCAACTCACGACGAAACCAGGAACGTTGATGATTATCAATGCATTGCCAGAAGAGACGTTCCCAATTTTGATCAAGGTTTTGACGATAAGAGATAAGTTGGCCTTCGAAAGCAGTGAAGAAAGCAGTGATGGACTCATGCATGGGACGATCTTCAAAGCGAACAGGACCACCAAGAACTTGCAATGCTGGCATATCACGTGGCACAACCTCCTTCTCCTTTTCAGCAACGGGATTCAAGGCTCGTTGGGTTTCCTGGTAAGCCTTCAGGTCTGCCAAGGCCTTGTTGTGGAGACGCACCCTTTCCTTGACGACATCCTCAGGGGCACCATCTTCCAAAAATCTTTTTTCAGTGGCTTTGGCAAGGATAGCCTTTAGCCTGGTTTCTTGATCCATGGTGGTAGATTCTGGTTGGTGTTGTTGCTGCTGGGTAGCGGGTGTTTCACCGGAAGAAGTTTGACGTGAAACTTTTTGAGCGGTGTTACTAGCTTCAGCCATGTCGACATCTTGGTTTTCAGGTACGTTTTCAGGACCATCCTTGATAAGCTTGGGTTGGGTGTTGTTGTTGTTGTTGTTCATGATGATGGAATAAAATCGAAGAATTCACAGTAAAAAATGAAATGTATAGAGGCAAAAGTGATGATAAGAACAAAGGGACAAGAT